CCAGTAGACGTTTAAAGCAGCTCACGCACCGCGACTGGACGACATTGCCGCCGTCTTTCCTCACTTTTGAAGTAGTGGTAGTCAGCCATTACGAGATTCTGACATGCGTTCCCGTAGCCTCGTGCAAACTGCATTCAACACTCTTTTATTGATCCATGCTGAATCACTGATTGATAGTAACATAGCGATCGCGACTAAACCCGAGCTAATGGCTTCGTGGCTCTTTGTCGAGATGACGCCCGACCTGCCGAAACCCTCGTAGTTTTACAGAACAGTTGTGACCAATGCTGTGTCTGGCACAGAGTAACACTGGAGCGGAAGGATTACAGGGTGGACGAGGTCAGTCACCTGGGTAGCACACATGAGTAGCGGATAGTCCAAGTGTCATCTGTGGCAGCTATTTTTGTACCCAACAATCTTACATTTAACTTAGCAAAGAAATTATGTACGGTGAACTCTTCAAAACTTTTTTTGACAGCAAGGCCTTCTTGCAGTGGCTAGAGCACCCCGGTTGGAAGAAATATGGCTCTATTACGTTTGACGCTCGCACGGTGGTTAAATTTATATGCTACCAAGTGTAGCGAAGCTACCCTAACTCTATAGTCGGATGAATTTTTAGACTCGTAGGATTTATTAGTAAATTGAACCAATCGGGTATTAGGTCTTAAGTGCAGACTTGGTAAATCATAGCTCTAAGTGTGCGTAAAAGCTCTTGAGCCTCTATTACTAAATCAGGGGGCAACGACTCCATATAAATTACTTGGCACAAATGATCTAGTACTTAGCCTAAGCCCAGGCACTTCACCCTTACTACCGTAGAATCCGTAGAAACGCACGTTTCTGAAACTGTTCAAATAGGGATCTGAATATGTTTAGTGATTAGTAGCGACAATAAATCTTAATTATGCATTTAATCTTAAAACGATGCTACCTAATCGAATAGTTCTCATCGTAGTCCTTCTTGTGTACCATACCAGAACAACGTCGCCTTGATAGACTATACTACATAGATATCCTATGACCATAACCGATAGGGTACGGGCTTATCGCTTTGCGATTATCATACAAAAGCACGCCTTAGCAGTGAATCTAAATATTTTCTGTGTGTTCCACACCAATACGCCTGGTTATTACGATGTTTGTGTAACCCCGTCACAGTGATAGGGCTGATAAGTACTAAAAAGCTCGTCAAATTGTTTAGTTGCTTAAGAATCTCAACCTCGACGATGCTGGATTGCTGCACGAGCAGTTTGTCAAACGATTTTTACCTCCCTCAACAGAGTTACTTCATGCGCGGAAGGTGTCTAAAGCGGATCTTAAACAGCTCTATGCGATGCTTCCGTCGGGAAAAATTGATGTGAATGGTGCAATGGAGTGGCTTCTGTTTAGCGATCTGTGGATCTTAGAAAAATCAGTCGCATTTTTCTTCATCAAATTGATGGAAAATCTGCCGAAGAAACATTTCTTCAGGCGATGTTTGCGCTTTGCTAACTAAGTTGATAAAACCAGCGGTCGTGTATTATGTTGGAAAACGGACTCATAATTGTTACTGGAATCTCGTCGCGAAACACACTCTGCCTGGGATAAAAGTCCCTCAAGATAATAAAGATTAAAAAGGTTTTTTTTTGTTCGTTGTAACGAATTGATGAGGAGGACTGAGTTCAGCGCAGCCAAGCATGGGTGCTTCGAGCAACAGCAACGTAATGGGTTTGCTTGATAGAAGATGTGGTGAGGATGATCGAATCGTCGCGAGATAGACCGTTACACATTGACAAATAAGATAGGGGAGCAAGTTCTGGAGCTCGCCCATTGATATAAGTAATCCAGTTCGAAGAACAAGAACAAGTTGCAAAATGCTACATTACAACAGAAGTCACTGAAAGATAAGTATGATGTTGTCAATGTCTGCATTAACCTTCTACACTAAACTTAAGCAATGTGATCGGCCTTCGCTTATGAGCAGTCAGCATTTGCTAATGTGATCATTTCACCTCGTGTCGATATTAAGCCAATCAGGTAAGAGCATCACAATATTGAACTAGCCATATGGTAAACTATGTCATGCTAATCGACCTATGGGGGGACAGGCTAGCTCCTACTTTGTACGAGTAAGGTATCCTAACCGCTTTATTTTACACAGAAAGACGGACACATAGACACACACGCAGATAAGTACGTTTTAAAGTTTGGCATTTAACCTTGCGCACACTCACTAATAGCTCCACCCTTCGGGCTCGTAATAATTGTTTCACATTGAAGTGCTATGGCTTATCTCCTCTTTCCATTTCTGCAGTAAGCAGTCAAGAAATTTTTTTGGAGTAGTCTCGTAAAATGATGTAAAATGCGAACGACCACAAAACTGTCATGGCTGTAAAAAAAGCGATTTATTTTAACGAGGCAGTCGGTTTTTATATCTGAATGCAATCATACTTGATTTTGCCGAATACTGTGTTTTTTTTTCGGCTCGATGAGCGGCCACCTTTTTGGAAGAAATACCTCTCCTGTTTCGTCTGTACCGATCTGGACGCTCATCATCATTTATGTTGTTCATGACTGTACGGAAATTGTCGAAAGAGTTGAGGTGTACCTTGATGCTATCGCTCTTTTCATGGTGATCAGAGTCCTGCAGCGCATGATGGTTAACGCCGTTTGCATCATCGGTGAACCAGTCTTAGACCACGCTAGCTGAGCGGCCGCGTTTCCGTTCGTGGCCGGAGTGTCAATCTAATACTGTCATCAACGACGACAATTCTGAATTCCAAAATGGTGACCTGCGCCTCTTGCTGCTTTAGGTCGAGAACGTCGTCAATGAAGTCGTCGACATGCTCGTCAAACTGGCTAGAAAAATCGACGCTTGCGACATTGTAGTAAGTACGACTAGAGCGTGCTAATCTTGCTAATGTACTGATTTTTGGGTAATGTCTGAGGCACTTGTGGTTACAGGGATCGGCGGCCGACCGGATCGTGCGAAGCCACGCACTTATCGGGGAATCAATGAATAAAACCTGATTTGAAATCTCGAAGGCTGTCAGGTTTTATAATCAAAGTCATTAAAAACCCGAATGTGTAAAAACACTTGGTGCCAGCCCCGATCACCCACCTGTCCGCCTTTGCGCCCCTCAACAAATGTGAGCTTCATTTTGACACCCCTAACTCGTGTGAGCTACATCTTGACTAGTGCTAGCCTCGAAGTGGCTTATCATGCCACCTCATAAAAGTCTTGTAAATTGGACTTTACTGACACCTGGATCTTGGCAGTGAAGTTGTAAATGCTCTCTCGACGGTGGACATGCACATTTGCAGGTTATTCACCTCGATAATTAATAAGGATGTGCGTCTGCAAGCCATTCCTGCCAAGAAGCCGTTGTTCGCTGGTAGACGAATTCACAAGGGACGAGTGGGAGCTTTCTTTGTTGCAGTGGGAGGCAGAGAGGGAGGATGCCCATCACCCAAGGCAGCAGACGAAAACTCCTGAGACTGCACGGACTGAAAGCGATAGAGTTCATGTCTCTCTCGTTCCAGACGTATGTAAGGGTTTATGAGTCGACGCAAGCAAATGTTCGAAGTGTCAGCACTTGGTGGACAGGCTAGCGCATCTTTGTCCTGGTGCGAGTTTTCTTTGTATAGTCGACGATCTAGGGAGGCAAGTGTGATTGTTGCCAGCTGTGATAGATTCAAACTCAGCAGCTATTGGTTTGCATAAAGCAAGAAGGTCATGACAATGTGTTGCAGAAACTTCAGACCGCCTAAATCACGCAGTATGAGCTAGCGTAAAGGGGTCTTAGTAGGGCAAGTCCGCTAGTCTTGGTCGCGTTCCCTAACAAAATAAACCCATCTTGCCGCCTGATGTGCCCGTAGCTCCATCATTTATAGCGCACTTAACACCTTAGATGTCGCGTACTCCGAGAATTCCCGGTGTAGTCTGTGGCTGTAGTACGTATCCACTAGCTGTGTCTATCTAAATGCTGCCCGACATTATGCAGCGTTGAAACGGCGTTTGTTGACCTGCGACCGTGAGATATAGAGCAAGGCTCTGGCTGCTAAGACTTTCATTTGCCACAACCCCATCTCGCTTGTTCGTGTCAGCACTTAAAGCAGTTGGGCATTCGGCGCGATTGCCGCCACGAAAACTACATCATGATCGACAACAAGTCGATAATCTCTCTGTTTTCTAGAAATTGCAAGTTTGCCTACGCTGATCCATAGCGGCAGAGGCGGACAAGTCGGTTGACTATCACATCGCCACATACTATAAGCTCGAGCACCTTCGTTCTGTTGGCGCCAGAAGCCTCATGATCATATACTACATCATTCTTAACGTCTCATCAGAAGTGCGTTGTGTTACGAGTTGTAACTTAGTCTTGGATAGCTATGTAATCCAGCAGAGGAATCCGCAACGGTCGCATCTTCCAGAAAGACGATATAGCTGTTCGTATAAGTGCCGACTCAGGTGCATGCATTGGTACGATAGCCCTCCAAGCGTGTGTTCAGCGTAACTTACCCTGTTGTCTGTTTGCCGTAAACGATTAGCGTTACTTGACATCCGTCGGAGGCGTTTGTGTCGGCGAAGTGACGAGAATGTCTTGATAGTTATATGTGGTGCGGCAATGCTGCGAATGGAAAGGAAGACGAAGAAGAAGTAGGAAGACTCACCTCAAGTAGCTCAATTGTTGGACGCCGATCAGTGAGCATCCAATTTTACGCTACTCGGTTATAGTACTTGACCCACGCTGATTCTAGAGCCCGTGTCGCAAGGAGCGTCTGCAGTCACCACTTAAGTACGACGCGTGACAACTCGTGTCGGTCCCCCTCCATCAAGCACAAATGCTTCGCGGGCGACGCTGAGCTACTTCCTCTCTTTATACTTCAGCGGTCAACTTTTTTCCAACGTGACGATTCATTCTGGAATTCGCGACTTGAAGCCCTTGCGTGACGCGGTACGAGTCGGTCTTGGCACGGGGTCAGCAGAATCCGCAACAATCGGACGGCCGACGTGTCGCATGGACTTGTCAGCAGTTGCAGTGCAGAAGCCACTGCTCCCGATGCAATTACAGGAGCTGTTGCCCCATGCGGATCGAAAAGCAGGTGCAGACAAGAAGCAGCAGCAGCTTTTGTCGTCCACAGATTGTACGGTCTCCGTCCACGACGCTGCATCGACTTTGCAATTATCGGGCAAGCACTTTAGAGACGACGACATGCTGCACGTCCGTCTCAAGGCCAGTCACTGCAGTAGTAGTCGCCACAGCAATAGCAGCAGTTCGCTGCGTGCGTCGCTCTTGAGCACGAGCGGGTCATCGTCTCTCCCCCCTCACAGCAAGAGCCTCGTGCTTGACCCCGAGACGAATGGCGCTGTGCTTCAAGCTGCAGTCTCATCGGGCGCCGAGGTCGTGGAAGTCGTGGCTGAACAGAGCTGGCTCATCACCAAGCTCCTGCTGCAGCTGCTCTGGGCGCTGCGCATGTCCAAGCGCTGGATTCTCTGCGCTCTGCGACTGCTGTCGTTCGTCGTCGTGCTGCTCTTCCCGTTGGTCAAGATCGCGCTCTATTGGTTCTTCAATCAAGACGTGCACAAGAACATCATCTACGGAGTCAACCGACGCAACTTGCTGGATGTGTATACAGTGCCCCGGGCAGCACAAGACGAGGAGACTGTCGAAACGCAGCAGCCCGGCGTTGCCAGTCCTCCCAGCCCGAGCTTCACTGAGAAAAAGTACCCCGTCGTCGTGTTTGTCTCTGGCGGAGCGTGGATCATTGGCTACAAGGCTTGGGGCGCGTTGATGGGGCGCGTGCTGGCGTCGCTCGGTGTCGTCGTCGTCATGCCCGACTACCGCAACTTTCCCCAGGGAGTGGTGCCGGACATGGTCGAAGACGTGACGCGTGCGATGCAGTGGGTCTTTGACAACATCCAGCTCTTTGGCGGGGATAGCGGCAACGTGCATCTCATCGGGCAGTCGGCTGGAGCGCATCTCGCCTTGTGTGCACTTCTCGAGCAGGTCGAAAACAAGCGCAACGCGTCGTCAGCAAGCTCGGCAGTGTCGCCAAGCGCTAGTGTCACGTCTGGAACCGGTAGTACGTCGGACTGTGAGAGTTATGAGAGCATGTCTTCATTGACGCAGCCGATCACGTGGAAGTTGCGGCACGTTCGCAGCTACATTGGCATCTCTGGACCGTACAACATGGAAGCGAGCATTGCGACCTTCCACCGCCACGGCTTTGACCGGGCGGTCGTGGAACGGATCATGGCAAATCGGCTGACTTACTACTCGCCCTCGTTGCGTTTGGTGACGCTTAGTGAGCTGCCGCTTGAAACGCGGACAGAGGTGTTGGAAGAATTTCCGCCGTGTTTTCTGTTTCACGGCACGGCCGATAAGACGGTCAATTATCGGTCGACGGAGCAGCTTACTGCGGCTCTGGAAGCTTGCAACATTCCTGTATCCACGCGCTTTTTTGAGGGCAAGACGCACACGGACCCGATCATCGAGGACCCGATTGTCGGTGACGATTTTCTGCTGGACGACGTGATGGCTGCGTTGAACGCTCAAGCGTCTGTTGACCCGATCAGCGGGAAGCCCCGGTACGAGTTGGGTGCACGACCTCAAGAAGGACGCTATTATCCCAAGGTGCTGGTGGGTTTAGCCCGCAAGATTAATCCGTTTTAGACCAGAGGAGCGTGCAGTAGAGCACAGACAGGAAGTAGGAGACACGACACGTTAGTGGGGACGAGCTGGTCGAGTGATAGCGATCGTCTCGAACCGTTTACACTCCGAAATGAAAGCACTGTATATTGATAAATGAACGAGAAACCGGAGAAGAGCTGAGAGCGACCGATCGAGTCAAGAGCAGAGACACGCTCTACTGCTTGTTCAATCGGTTCTTGAACGCGATGACGGCTCCAATGAGGATAATGGCCAGCACGCCCGCAGTCGCTGGACCCACAAGCATCATCACGGTCGGATATTCGTGTTCCGCTTTGTGTTCCGCTTCTTCATGAGGCTTGGCGGAAGATTCTTCGGTGTTAGCAGTGTGGGAAGCAGGGTCCGCGGCCTCTGACGCGCCCTCCTTCGTGGTGTGTGCTGTAGAGGTGTCAGAGTGTTCAGCTTTAGCAAGGGCCGCTTTCGATTCCGTGTCAGGGTGGCCTTCTTTCGCGTCGAAGCTGAACGTCCCATCTTGTCGTGCGAGGCTGCGGAGAAGTCGAGGTGTCGCATCAGCTTCCACAGAGCCGAACCCGCACGTGCAGACAATGGCCACTAGGAGCAAGAGTCGAGTCGAGAAGCGGCGTCGAATTCCTGCCATGGTGTAGTCGAATGGGGATATTCTATTTTGTCCCAGGTCGTGGCGGTGTGTAAGCGACAAAAGAGGCGGAATGAGTAGTGCCGACGGATGGGATGGGATGGGAAGGTTTGCATGGACGAGAATTTGTGCTGGACCAGTCTAACGTCCTACTCGTCTTTGCTCAACGCCTTCGTAACTGTCCAGCAGAAGGGGCTCCTACTTACTAGAACGAGCACATTCGACGCACGATACCACGACCGAACTCTGCGCTCTTTTATGGACACGCGATTGCTTGCGTGGGATGGCCGCCGAACGGGTCTTGTCCACCTTCTACCATTCGTTTGTCTCGTAAGAAATGCACGACATTGTCACCTGGATTCTGCCGCACGTGCGATCGACAAACCTGCGACTGGACAGCTGAAGCACCTTTTCGTAGGCCGGAGCTCGCACTATCCTCCGACTGTCCACGAACTACTAGCTCGATGCGCTTAGTTAGTTCGTATCTGAGTTTGTGAGATGGCGCCATGAGCTGTCCGTCAATTGTTCGTGGGCGAAACTGCACATGTCACGTAGTTGGAACGGTGTCGAACGGCAGTGACAGCGCTGGGCTCGTTCATTTGCCACAGACCAGATGCAATTGACAGGGAACATGTGGAAGATAAGACGATTAATTGTCGGGGCGAATTTGTGACTGGACATACATCTAGTATTTGTGTTCACGGGTCAGCGTTGTCGACATAGAGCGAGGGACGGCATACCAATCGGGTCGTGCGCTTGAGGATAGTGCTGGCCTCAAAACATGCGACGCCTGATTGTGTCGAGAGAGAGCGAGCCTCTGAGAATTGTGCAGCTTCTATTTCGGCACGCTCCTTCTAACCATATGTCCGATTAGGTTCCTGGCGTGCATCAAAAGAGCCTCATTGCCTTGTTATAGCACGCTTAAACAGGTGGAATTGCGCCGTAGAACTCGGTGTGTAAAGCCACGTTGGGAAGACTTCAAATTCACTATCGTTTTTGCTTGAGTACACTAACAATTTTGGCATTTTTTGGCTTTGCTCATCCCAATCTGTGCCGGCTATCCATTAGCCTAATTTTTTGTATGCTGACCATCGGTTACGCGAAGGGCCATAAAATTCGACCGTTTCTTCTTCATTGACCCTCATCATCCTCACTTTGATGTCAAACTCTTCCACCTTCCTCCTCTGGCATGGCAGCTCCTGTTATTATTAAAAATGCTATTCCTGCTGTTCCGCCGTGGGCTGCGATGAAGTTTTACCAGAGAGGCCCTTCGATGTTCAGAAAGAAGCCGTAGACACCACCATCGAGTACGCCATTAGCCAAGGCTTCGCCGTTCACATCCTATGCAGCAATTTGTGTGGGACTATGCGCGTTTCTCTCTGATGTACCAGGAGAAATACGGGGCTTCTAGATTAAGGTTATACCACGACCGGACCCTGACCTTGCAAGACCGTAACACTGCAAAGGTTGCGATTGCTTTGGTTCCCGGGTCGACCTCCAAATGCACGCACCCGACGAAAGTGTAAGTCGACTTTTTTACATAACAAAGGCTGTAATGGCCCTCATCGTAATGTTATAACACGACCTTGCTACCGGTGGAGCAATTAACAATGCGGAAGGAGCGATGTCGATGCAAAGATCGTCCAGGTGCATTTGGCTGAAGCTGCTTCACAGGGACGCACGAATGTGCAAGCATGACGCTTTCGAGCTAAATACGAGCAAGTCACGTCACTTTCGGCTTGTTTGCGTGGAATTCTTGTTAAAAGCGGGGCTAGGATATGCAATTAGCTTCCTACCTCTTGGAAAACGCTGTCCTCCTTCCTTCGGGGCTTGTACCTGTCTGCGTGTGCTGTAAGCCGTAGTACCAAGTGTGCTTAAAATAGTGCTGAGCAAGCTATGTCTCAGAAACCCGTCCCCATGGTCATGAACACAGTCGATCTTGGGCGCAGAACGATGGCGGGGGTAGACATGTTGATGCGGATTCCAATCGTGGCCACCGCCACTGGGGCTCGCGAAAGTAGTCCTTCGCCTAACCCCTGTTGGCAATTCAATCATTCGGACGAATGGAAAGCCGGCTCAGTTATAGTTGGGCAAAGCAAAAAAAAGGCAAAAATGTTAGTGCATTCAGACAAAACTGCTAGTGCATTTATAAAGTCTCCCCGCCACCTTGCTATATCGCGATTTCGTCTAGCAAAGTCCATAAAGATAACTGCGCATGAAACGTAGGCGACAGAAAGAGGGATGAGGTTGTCTTCGCCGCAGATCTACTTACTTGCGTTGTACATCGTATCGTAAGCGAACATAATTTGAATGGCTCATCATTCCTATTTACTATCTCAGACATCAATGCAACTGTCGGTGGATCGTCGCATGACATGTGGTTGATCGTTGTCCATCGCGATGAGCTGATCGCCGTTAGTGAAGACAGATCAGCAAATTAAAGAATTGAATCAACAGCTGATCCTGTCGCTAAAGATGCTTAATCGCATGTTCTTTTAGACATGTCACTGCCGTCGATGATAAAGGCTGTTAAGGTTGCAGCAAATACATCCGTCTTCCTCAGGACAGCGCTTTTAACCTCAATACTATTGCCACTGGACTCTTCGAGTGCAGCTGAGCACTATCATCGGATTTTTGATAAGAACAGAGCTTTTTAAAGATCAAAAAGAAGCCGTGATAATGTAGCATGCTGCATACATGTTCTGTTTTACTTATCTGTAATTCTAGCTAGCTACTAACCTCCTCACCTAATGGAGGCAAGTAACAAAGGATCTGTGCTTGGAGCAAAAGAAAAGTGAAAAACTGCATAAATGTGGGGCTTCTGTGGCGAAGAAACGATGGATTATCAGCACATGCAGTGCTGAGAGCGAAGGTCATGACCTTAACTAGAGCTAACGGCTAAGGTACACGCAAAAAAGATCGTCTGATCAGCCTCAATCAGCTTGTCAGATTGTTTGGCAGCATTCTGGCCCAATCGGGGATTCTAAATGTGACGATGGATTTGCATATTTCTGTACTTGCTTCGACATGTTCGAACGTTTAAGTATAGTCTTAGTGCTAAAGATCGATCTCCTTGTGACCTGTGTATGCCAAAAAATACGAGAAAGTTAGATGCAGAAAATTGATAGATTGCAAAGGGTTGTGGCATGGCCCGAAAGACAATAGCAACTATGGTGTGTCGCGCGTAGAGCTTGGAATTGCGTTAGAGGCTATGAGCATTTTTTAAGTCGTGAATTGATTATGTATGCAAAGCAGCACAATGTTTTACGATTCAGCTTCGTCGTGATACCTATTTGAAATTCCTCCGGTGTAAAGCTACGTTTAAATGAATATATCAGTCGGTGTACAGGCAGAGCAAAAAAAATTCTGCGCTCAACACATCGGCTTTAATGGAATTAAATATGCAGTCCATAATGACCTGCAAGTTCTAAACCACGTCCATTTCGCAAGGGCAAGTTTCGGGATATTAGATATGCGACGTTTAATCTTGCAGTATCGAGACGCGTTGTAGTTTGTTCTACGACAAAGCTCCGTTTCTGAGTGGAGGTACTCACCAAATAGCTCAGACGATGTATTTGATGCCACTCGTGGACACGCGTGCACAAAATCAAACCCAATTTTGGCGTATAAACGATGACACTTTGTCTTAAATCTCGCCCCATCATACTCTGTTGCACCGTGCCTACGTACAATGTGCACGGCGTACCATTCACCTGGTTTCTGGATGCCGATGTATACTAAAATCAGACGATAGACATGCTGGACGTTTCTTCGCAATGTCCACGAAATGTCGCGCATCCTTGTGCGATGTTCGTTTGTAATGACCCCGCGGATTCAAATTTCCAGTAGTTGATGTTCTGCACGTCAATCGTGCATTACAGACCAACACCCTACTAATCATGTCAGACAGAGCATTACGTTTTGCTGCAAATGAGTTTTCTTGATGTTTGCTGGAGTCATCGGACAACGCAGTTTAAAGGTGGTAGTTAGATAAACATTAGAGGTTCATAAAAGCCTACCACAGTAAGCATAACAGCCTTACCCGCTTCGATGAGCAGGCGTGAAAAGATCGATGGTAATGTGCAGCAGCACAGCGACGTCCTTCTTAAGTCCAGAATCACGTGAACGGACTCACTGGGTATCATGTGTAGACATAGTACCACACAGCAACCAAGCAGCTGAACCTCTATCGTGCTATCCGTCGGATAGACAGCAGCTGCAGGAAATAACTGAAACGAAAGAAGTACCAAAAGAGAAATGGGCACACTTTTCTGAAATATGTCTACAGGCACCAAGCGTGCTGGAAGATAGTGACCATTTACTGACGCCAGTATGCCGGTCAAGAAGAATAATGGCTTCCTGTCGATGACGTCAATTGCTTTGCGAATTTAAACACTGTCTAAGCCACTGTGCCGTTTGCCAAGTCCCCCCCTATCCGAACAGTCTTTCATTTTTTCGTGCCACGGTGTTTAAGCTGACAACGATGCCCAAGGTCTAGATATCGCGCAAAAGGTTCGTGTTGGCATCCGAATGCCAATCGCCTTTGTAAGGCGAGCTGAATGCGGCAGTACCTATAAGACATCTAAATTATCTTGCAATAAACACTACATAATTTAGAAAGTTGGTATTCGTCAGCCGAAAGTCATCGCAGTACGCATGCTTTGGAATGCAGCACTCTAGACCAACTTCATCTGTACAATCGATCATCAATTCGAGACCGAAAGAAGGTATCGGCTTACACGGAATCCTGCAACGATTTTACCAAAATTGGCCCTCAGGTTCTAAAATAGGATCTTTCTAACGCCGTTCCTTCGTCGGCTGATGATAATCACTAAACTTTTATGTGCCAATATTTTGTTGTAACGGTGATCCTTACTAGAATTCGATTGCAAAAATTTTGCAGACGTTGTGCCAAGTAGGACTCCGTTCCAGGATGGGACGGGATTGACCTATCCCGCGTCCCATCCTGCGCGGGACAATGATGGGGCGCACGATACTGCAGG